TCTTCTCTTGACGAACATTTATAGTAATCCGCGTGGGTCGTTAATTATTCAATTTGCGTTGAACTTGGATGCATCATAGTTGTCGGAAGCTTGAAAAAAATGACGAACGAGCGGCTCTAGCTGGTTCGCGTAATCCGCTTCGACGGATAGACGGGACGTATATACTGTTTGCCGCATAGGCGGCGCAGTTTTTTTTTCATGAACGATATTCGACTTTTCTCCATAAACGAAATCGGATTAAAAAACGGACGGCGAACATTTTCGTATCGGCCAACGCAACGCAACAAAATTACCGATTTTCCTTTGTGTTAAAAAACAGGATGAAAGTACCTTACAAATCTGATCACAATGCTACAGCAGGATTTACCACGTTTCTGTTGTTCCTGTTGTACCTGATTTGATTAATTTTCACCGAGAGATAAATTGAAAGACAAACAAACCATAGAGTTCCTCGACTATGAGTAACAATTCGATGGAATTACATCGAAATCGTGAGCAATTAACGAATGAAAAATCGCAGTTGGATATCTATTTTCCAACGGAGGAGTCGCGTTTCACGGAGTTATCTGCTGGCCCTTGAGTTTCATTCAGTGAAAAGTTCCTAGGAGACGTAAATCCGAACAGAAACCGAGCCCGTTCGATTCGATAATAGTGGCGTTGGCCTAAAGGAAAGTCTGCGATCGCAGTTCTTATCGTTCCCACGAACGGTCGAAAGCAGAAAGGGAGTAAATAATTTAGCCATAGAACAGTGATTCGATTGTACGATTCGATGGTTCATCGTGAAACACCGAAACCCATCAAGGCTTTTTGCTACTCCCGGCCTTTCCTTCCAAACTTTCAATTTCGACTTCAACAATTGGAGCCCAAAGGAAGTTACACTTTATTCATCGGGCAACTTCCATTCCATTCCTGTTTCTAACAGGAAGATCGAGCTGTTCCGGCACTCGAATCGGCGCGGCGTGTGAAACTGCGAACGAACGTCAATGAATTACGCTTAGTGGGATTGTCGGCTACTTTTTCGACTTCCTTCCAGCCAAACGAAAAATATCGAATTGAAAGGCAATCTTACAGTTAGGAATAAGTGCAATTACATCGTTGCGAATGAATGATGTCAATTATTGTTACTTTCTTAGAATATTATTGACTCTATACATTTTATACGTCTATTATGCAATAATAGGCAAGTGGGAACAGTGAAACGATATTTTGTTTTATTATTTCGAGTCTCGTTTTCGCACGAATTAAATCCAAAGCTATTACTACAAGGTACAGTCCCCAATGTCGTCGGCTTGGTTAACTTCGTTCACACTCTGTAAACTTTAAAGTGAACTTTCTTGAAAACGGAATCTTCCAGTTACAAATTCCATTCACGCCAGATCGCTTCCGCCGCGTTTCTACCACCTGTTACAATACGCTCTACGCCACACAAGCGAAATCTATCGTGCTTTCCGGTTGCCTGATTTCATTCATCTTCAACGAGCCTTTCTTTCGATACACGAACTCTGTCGTATTCTTGAGAATTTTTCCCTCAAAGACCGGTTCGATCTAGCCGTTCCTTTTCTCCGAACTATCTAACACTTTTGCCTCGAAACTCGTGTATTAACGTCCGATTTCTCTGTTTAAAAAAAAAATTGGATCGAGCGACACTTTGAAAATTCCGGGGTCGATACCGAAACCTGGTCTAATTCAAGGAACGCTCGAGAGCAAAGGGGAAAAATCGCATGCCGGTCGCACGGTCGATCTGCCAGCCAAACGGTGGTTGCTTGGCGCAAGTTGAACGGTGGTCATAAGGTAGCTCCTCGAGTAGGAGCGCGTACAACGAGCAGCGAGACTCGTAAGGTTGCGGCAAAACGACTTGGTAGGAGTTGCATTTTTATCCGGCCCCGCGTTCTCTGTCGACGTAGCAGATGAAAGCGGTTATGCCGCCGCTTCGTATATTGCCCCCTGTCCTTTTGTCTCCCCGCCAGGCGCGAGCAAACACTCTCTTTCTCCGTATCCACGGTTTTTCCATCTTTTCCCGTTGCTTTTCTCTCTCCGTTCGCTGCGACCTTAAAGCCGACTTCTATTCCTGGTGCCATCCGACTGGGTATACTCGAATAAACTGGCATACGACCAAATGCCGTGATACACCGAGCCTTGCCACGCCGTACATTCTTCTCATCCCCCTAGGAACGTTATGACCCACCCCCTAACGCCTCCACTCCACCCTCAAACGCCGCGCAGTGGACCATTACGTTCCACCGTGTGCCGCTTACGTTATTATTGTATAAATCAGCCGCACGCGGCGCTGAATTTTCTTCTCGTTACGTCCGACGCTGATTTCCTGCAGACCCGAGTGCGCGACCTGCATCGATTTCCCTTCGATGGGCAACTGGATAAAGTCCGATGTCATCAGTTTTTTTATAACGTTAGAAAAACTTGCTGCCGCAGCTTCGTTCCAAATTTTTGGAATAGCATTTACACATAGCGTTACGAAAAAACTACGGAGTCTGGTGAACGTAACGGAGACGTTATATCGATTTAATTACCGATTAATTCATACTTCTTTTGTTCCTATTGAATAATGACCTCGCTGGTACCAGGAGCTAACAGAGTTGCCGTTTTTACCGCGATGGTTCTTTTAATAACGACTGGCTGGCTGAACGGACAGATTAGTATCTGTTCTTGTCACTGCCAGATTATTGATTCGCGTCTCACGTTACGAAATCGACGAGAACACAAGTTTTGATTCCGCTGGCTGGATATTACGATATTATTAAAAATCGCCGGGCTGCGTGCAGAACCATCGCAATTTAGATTCTTCGTCTTTCGATCGTAGCTGCTTTCTCTCTCGATCTCTCCGCGTTCTCCTCTTTCCAATGGTTGCAAACAAATCATTCGGGCTCGACCGTTTATTCTCTCACCTTCTCGCTGGCGCACTCGTGAAACGACCAATGGGAAAATAGTAACTGGATCCAGATCGGAAATGACTGCAGCCCGATAACCGGATATCTAATATCCCACCGTTTGGTCTGTCGAACGTGAAAAATACGATGATCGGATAAGCCTGGTGTCCAGTGAACATATTCGACTGGCAACTAACCGATGCGACGCGACGCCAGCAGCCATTTCCCCCCTTTGGACGATCCTCCCTTCAACGCTTCGACCCTCCGAGGCTTCGCGTCGTCTTCAAGATCGTGGGAAATATTAATCGTGACAACGCCGGCACACCTTTTCCGAGCCTCCTCGGTAGCAGCCGTGCTCCTCGACGTCAAGGGACCCGACGCAAACTTTTGCTCATAACAAGACGAATGGACCTTCGAAAGGGAATGGATAATCAGAGGGAATTATGTAGAGAGCAGTTCAGAGGCACCAGAAAGTTTTTTCGTTCGTACCTCGTACGAAATAGCAGTCGCCAAAGTAGCAAAGTGCATTATTCAGGTGTCGCCGTTCGACGATTAGCTGCTTTTTCGGTAACGAAGCTGTAATATGTACAGAACGTGGTAATTCGATCTCGTTCAGAATTTCTGAAACTCGATGGAATTGGAACGGCGGGGCGAAATTAAGGATTGAATTCTTCGTCAGGCTCGTGGAAGATGCGCCGGATGGGAAGAAAACTCATAAGAATTGATGAACCGAGCTACGGGAACCAAGAAATAGTTCGCGAGTTGAGAAACTCGTGAATTTAACTGAGTAATCAGTAAACTCCCATTACCCGGCCCGTTCTCGGGCCGTGGCCAGAACTGTACCTACGCCACGGAGGGGTACGGTTTGGGGAGGATTAATTATTTAGCCAGGAGCAATAAGATATGTCAAAGGTGGCTCTGACTACGGAACACGGACCCGCCCGACCTTGCTTCGTTCCCGCGTTTTATTAATGGAGCTTGCCAGTGACATAAGAAAATCGCGATTTTATTTCGACAAAGAAAGAAAGGATAATCGCGCCGTATATTAAGTTAGACTGACGTTTAAATTACTCGGCGAGTTGTTGCTACGATAAAAATATCTCGCAGCTTTCCGTGAGTCGGCGCTAATAAAATTAAATCCGTGCGTAACTATCAAGCCGTTTAACCCTCTGGTCCTTAATAAATAAAATTAGTCGAGCACGCGGCACGCGAAAATTTCAAAACTTTCCGCTTCCTTTCATTCGTTCCTTTCTTCCGATTCCCTGTCTGAACGATAGAGGCTTTCACGCGCCGCTCCATTAAATTCCAGCTTTATCCTTCTTGCTACTTTTCTTTATCCCCGTTTTTCCCTACGTCCGAACTTTCTTTTAACAATCTCTATCCCTTATCCTTGGCCATAGGGTAACGACGTCGTAACACGTTACTATGTTATGTATTACGTCGCTCGTAACACGGGCGCGAAGTAGCGTAGGTGGGAAGGAAATAAGTCGTAACAGAGCACTGATTTACGAGCCGCGAGTGTGCATTCCTACGGGCGGCTCCAGTTTTAAGGGGAAGACCGCATTTGTAGTCGGACGTATCGAACTAACGGGCTAAATGACGCCGTCGCTGACAAATGGTCGTCATTAAGTGGCAGCAACTTTTTTATGCGTCCGCCGCCGCGGCGGAATATATTTGCAGTTATCGGACGATCGATGCGATATCCATTTTTCATCCTGACACTGATATAGCGATTTCATTAACGGAGCAAGTACAAATCTAGAATAATTTAAAGAGCCAGCGAATTAAAATTTCAATAATCTTCGGAAGATCGCGTGAAACGACGAGTCTGATTTACAATTTACCTTTGTGTTAACAAAAGAAATAATATTCGTACAACGTCCGTTTGTTTCATGCATGAAAATATGATTTCATGATATTAAATTCCAACAGGAGAAAACGTGAATATGCTGTTAAAACAAGAGGTGCAACTGGTTTTAATGAAATTCGCGTTATACGAGTCAATATTAATTTCCGTAAGCACTGCATAAAATGTACGTAAATTATACGTATTTCTAGGTGCTCGACGTTCCATCAGAATTTCAGTGTTGAATATTCCTCATGGTCTTGTTGCAGGTGTCATGGATGAGAAGCAAGGACCTTCATATACTCACGTCAGGAAGCACCCTGTTCAGCTCGGACGCGAGGTTCGGACCTCAGCACACGCCGGGTAGCGACGCGTGGACGCTCAGGCTGGACAATACGAGGAAGACGGACTCCGGCAAGTACGAATGCCAGGTGAACACCGAGCCTAAAATGATGTACGCTGTTCAACTGTCCGTGCGAGGTAATTGCGCTCCCTCTTGGTTCCCCCGGTCCTCACCCCACTTTATTTAAATCCGCCCGCTAAATTGAATTGTCCTTAAGCTGGTCTTCGTTTAATAACTTCACCGACTACCATTTCTCCGTTGAATATTTTCCCGCTACTCGCGGAACGATTTTTAATTATATGCTAATGCTCGGGAGGATGAATTTAATGAACGAAGTTCGGCAGAGGAACGAATAGCCGAATTCATTGTGTATCTTATTGCTCGCTCGTAACGTGTACCCGCAATTCGTTATTGTGTATCACGCTCTGACGATTAACCGTTTTCTCTGTTCCAATGTTTCTTCTAGATCCTGACAAACCGGAAGGTTACGACGAGCCACATTCTCAGCAGACTCGAATAAGTAAGTGAGCACCGTGAAAACGAGGGTTTATTTTCGTCCGATGGTATATTCGCGCAAGCGACCTATTCCGTTTTCCGCTTCGCCATTGTGTTGGGGAGATTTTAATAGACGCGGGCATAAACTTTAAGATTCTCGTCGTCTAACTTAGCACGGGCGCCTGCTAAATTAAATTTAAGTCTGCCAGCGTCTATTCTCCACTACCGGTGTAATATAATGCCCGCGCTTCGAGGTACACTGCGATCTGACCAATACGTAGCTACGGTCGATCCAATATTTTTCATACGACTCGGCTGGACACGATTAAAAAATATTTTCAATCAAAATCTATCCACCGTCCCTCGACTATCCACGTCCACCAGCCCCTGCGCGATGGCTGACGTTCTGCGGCATTTTATTGCATATTTCCCTGATGCACATTGACACCGCGCAGATGTACACACGTCAGCGGTGCAATCAAAACTTCATTGGAAGTTTTTCCATGCCAGTTACTCGTAAAAATTAATCTCCATCCTCCATCGTCGAAAACTCAGAACAAGTTTCTCTCTCGCTATCATGCACAATTACGTTTGCTCGATGATCAAATTTGAAATTTTATTCGCGGCAAGCTCCTCGCTTCTTTCCATACAAAGTTGCGAATCAAGTGAATCTATCCACTCTCCGGAGGAATGTACATACAATTTTCAGCGGCTCGCCTGATCCATATTTTACTCAAAATGCTTGTTGCATATTCTTCGTTTGTTTTTAGAAGCGATTCCAACTTTCTTGGGAACCTAATTACGTATTCTATCTCGGTTAGATCCCGTTGAGGAGAGACCGCACCTCTGATTCACGTCGGGTTTAAATCGTTTTTTCTGGATTTTATTCCTATTAAAGTTGCGGGAGAACTTTCGGAAGCGATGCAGGCACACGCGCGTGTTTCGCATTAGCACTGCGCGGCCGCTAACTTTTAAACGTGTAAATTAGTAAATATCTCAGTTGTTCTACGTAATAGCCGAGCGGGAAAATCAGCGTGAATATATAGCAAAACTTTGTTGTTACCGCGTACATATTTTATGCTCGTTGTTACGATTTTCTAGTCTGGAATGCTCAGGCGCCTTTTGTTGTTGTTAAATTGCTGGTGACGTTCGAGAGTGCAGATTTGAAATTCTATGGTAATTGTATAAGTACTGTTTGCCTCGTGTCACTCGACCAATTTTCGATACGTCGATCATTCTATCCGTAACTGTGAGAGATATTAATAGAGCTTGATGTATCTGCTCGATGCCGAGAGGGACGTCGTGACACCTTTATACACCGTTGGCCCGTTAAAAAATCACCCGACAGCCGCTTTTTATTTCTGCACCGGATCCAGTCGACATCAATCACTTAAGGATAAGTGCGCTTCTTCGCTGGCTTTGACGGCCGGGATCCGTCGTCGATTCTTTTTGCACCGTCCTCTCCTAGCTAGACGCTTCATAATTCTTTCCAAGTTCCATCATTTCATCCGGGTTGGGCGCGGCGACGTGAGATTTCTGGATCTTTTTCTTTATTGCATCCAACTTCTCCCACCGGCTGATATTCATCCTCCCCTCGCGCCGCACGCCGCGTCGTCCCGAATCGCGAAATTGCTATCGACTTTGAATCGATGGTTAAATTCAAGAGCGGCGTAAAAACAAGCGTCGCGAGAAGAGGAGCTTGAAATTGAAATATCCTCCGGGAAACCGATCGACCCGCTTTAAAAATTGCACGGTAAGTATTATATACGAGATAAGGAAAACAATAACGAGCTGCGCGCGGTTGGAACGCGAAATCGATGGATGTACCTACTCCGGTGATAAATCGGGAACGCTCTTTCGCTCGGAGCGGGATTAAAAGTACACACGCGAGGGGGATGAAATGTAATTCAGCAACTTGGCTAGGAAAATACATCGATGGAGGATCTCTTGCAGTAGATATCGAAGAAAAGAATACAGAGGACAAGATTCACTAGGAATTCCAAAACAGATTTGCCAAGGCTATCATTGTTAACGTGATAAATATTTACTGCAAGCAGTTTCATCGAATAATCGAAGCTCTATTTTTTAAGACACCATCTTAAGGAAGCTTGCTTTTTTTCTAAAACTGTTATAGTAATGAAAGATCGCGGTCCGATGGAAAGTAAGCAAAGAGTCTGTGGCAGTTATCATCGAAGGTGCCGCGAGATCGAAGCGCGGAGAGAGGAAGAACCGCGGCATGGAGGAAAAACAGGCTGGCGTGTACAGTAATAACGGCATAACGTAATATTTCGCCGAGGAGAAATGCAGTTCCCTAGGGATTAATTCAAGTCTAATAGGATTATCTTTAATCCCGGTAGTCGTGGAAAACCTCCTCGGGTCCTCCGGGATCTTTTTCCTCGACGCCTGGCGTGACCATAACCGGCGCTTCTACGGCCCCGGCAGAGAACGTAGCGTTAAATGAGTCTCAACTATCGGCCCGTCCTCTCCTCTCCCGCTGTGAATAATATATGCTTGTCCGGACATTATCGTGCACCATGGGAGGCTCTCACGAGACACGCGCCACCTCTCCCATTGTTTTTCCCTTTCGCCCTGTAATGAATTATTAGGCCAACTCGCGAGCACGAGACAGCTCTCTTGTTTGTTCACACTTCAAACTCCAATTTCCGGTCTGAGGATCCAGCTACCTGCAACAACCAGCCTCTCTCTTTCTTTTCCGCTATCCTCCTTTCTATCGCGTTCTTCTTTCGCAGCCTTCTTCTCTGCAGCTCGCCTGCCTGCAGAGTTCCCAGAAAATAGGTCGCGTTTTAATACAGCGCGACTTACTAAGTCTCGACACGCGGTAAGTGAATCGTAATTGTGATCTCTCCACTGCGCGCCATCCTCCAGTCATCAAAGGGATTTCCAGGTTACTCTCGGATTAACGGACTCTCAAATTTTTTGTTTTTAAGAGTCGCCTGTGATTAAAGAGTTTCCAAGATTGATTTTTGTCGAGGTTGCATGATGTTTGATGTGAAAGCACAGAAAATTGGGACAGATAACGGGTACAGCCTCGCGGGAGGGAAGCACGTCGTTCCTCGAGTGTGGGACGCATGTTAAACGGCCACTTGGACCGAGTCTTTGAATTAAAACGTGCAGACCCTGACAGCACGCCCCGTACGGAAACCGCGTTACGTCGCGCCATTCTTTTTCGCTGCTTCACCGTGGAAACGCTTTACTTTGTGAAGATTTAAACGCCGTCGTTGTCCCGTGTTGTGCGCACGACTCAAGAGCCCGACGCGACACTAACCCTCGCAATGCGCATTAATTAAAATTATTACTTGACGCTGAATGAGCGATCCTTAACGTTAGGTCATCGTAAAAGTTTTCTCAATTTCAAGCCACTTCTGAAAGACCATTAAACACACATTTATCCAGTATAATTTTCGTTTTCGTCAGACAGTCGTTAAGACAGGCATATTAAACGGAAAACAGCTTTCAAAATGATTGACATCATGTTACTACATTGATCAATCACAGATTACTTTTACTCGATACATCAATAGCTGTCAATTAGGAAGTTTGGTAAAGTTCTAATGAACGATCGATTACTCTCTGCAGGCTTCACGAGTCTATTCTATTCACGATATATATTCACGAGTATTGTCTTCATCAATGAGTGATAATTAATTCGTCTGAGGAGTTTCTCGACGAGCTGAAACGAAAAGTGATAAGAAGTATTTTTCTACTTCCGGCCGGTCGCACAGTTTCGTAAATCCTGACTTCGTCGTGTTGCACAGTTTTTAATGAATCTACTTTTTCAAGCAGCAAAGCATAAAACACGCTCCGCTCTTTTTGCCGAGTTCCCTTCTCCGTGTAATTACTTTTTCTTGAATCTCTATAACTTATTTAACATTGTTTTAAGTACGTCGCGAATGTTACATTTAAAAAGACGTTATTCAAATGTACCGAACCAGCTGTAGATAGCAGAATTATCGAAAACCATTTAACGAGCATATTCATATGTTTCGTTTAGTACCCTCCGACGTAAAAATAAATTATACTTATTGCACCAGTGCGAAATATTCGGTATGCAATGGCGAAGCTTAGAGATTAAATAAATAACTTCGAGGCGGTTCATAAATTTTTATAGAAAAATGCCTATACTAATTTTATATCTGTCCTAACATGGCTTACAGGTTACGAAAGCACGGCGCCGGTGGCGTCCATAATGGGTCCTCGGGAGCAAAGGGTGGCCTCGGGGTCGACGATCACCTTAAGGTGCGTCATATTGTCCCCGTATCAGACGCGACCCATCAGGGGCGTGCAATGGCTCCGGGATAACAAACTCCTAACATTCCAGGTAACGCAGAGCAGGGCGTCTTCTCCGCAAGGATTGTAATGAAATTTTTTTTACATGTCGGCGCGTAGCGTCCTCGTGGAGTAGGGAATCCCATTCCGATTGAAAGAAATACGATCGTAAATCATCGCGGTGACAACCAGCGCGACTTGTACACAATCCCAATCCCCTTCCGTTTAATCTATAACATTTCTGTTTACGCACCGACGTTCGCGTGTTCCGTTCGAGTATTTCCCCTTTCTATGACGTTCTCTACATTCTTTGCTTAAAACTTTTAGCACGTTGGGATGCGGAGATTAAAATAATTACGGGCGACATTTCATTGATTCTGCGTCGAACGAAAAATATTCGGGCGATTGAAATTGTTCGTGGATTTATTAAAAAATTAGAGCCCGAGAACGGAAGATTTATTTTGTAGGTGTCTACAGCGGCAATATTTCTCGATTGTTGTTTGATGTTTACACGGTAAACAATTGCGTGCATCGATTGGAGTATAATGTGTGTCCATCAAATAAAATAGTATTAATTGTAAGCACATATGTACCGAATAATTCGTGAATTCGTTGGCGAATTTATTTGTTTTTCCGTTTGACGCAGAGATGGCGAGGAAAAAAGAAGAAATCGCGTCGCGTTGAATCGTGTGTAACGTTCGCCTGCCCGTTGTAGACCGAATTTCACGTTGAATTCACTGTGTTTGTATTGCTTACAGGCTGCGCGAGGGGGAATAAATGTGGAGACTGAAAGGGGCGCGGCACGAACGGTCTCCGAATTGACTCTGGCGACGGTCACGCTGAACGACGTTGGAAAATATTCGTGCAGACCGTCCGAGGGACGAACCGACACTATAATGTTGATCGTCGAGCCAGGTTAGTGTTCGAGATTCCTCTTAAAAGCTTCGTATTTTACGTTGAACTCCGCGCAACCGACTTCCCGCCTCTCCCTCTGGGTTGCTCTCCAACTTTCTGTCTCGCTCATTCAAATTCTCCACCTTTCTACTTTTATTTTCGATACACGATGGAGAAATACTTTTACGCTCGATAGAATATAAAATCGATTTAACAGTCCGAGCTCTATCTCGCTACGCCGCACGTGCGGCGTCGCGCTGCACCGACTAGCGACCGTAGAAAAGTACGGACAAAGTATCGTACAAACGTCTTCGCGTAATGGCGACCGTTCAGTGCAAATTGCCGCCATAAAAGCTAGCCCTAAATCGCCGTTCCACCGCGATCAAACCGCAGAACAAGAGCCTCCCTTCGGCGAAGCTCATCGGGTGGAGCATTACGAGCCACGGGCGCGGACATTTATATTCGATTCACCGTAACGTCTTCGTGCATGCCAGCCCGCAATCCGGTAGTTAGAATAGGAATAAAAGAAACGAAACAACGAATAACGAACGGGAAAGGATGAGAACGGAGAACGGGCTAGGTGCACCCATGATCTAAAGTCGCGCCTTAGGATTACTCGAAACACTTTAAAGTTTTAAGGAGGCGGCGGTATTTCACGCCGGGACTATTTGTCTAGCTCAGCTCCCTCGGTTCGCCGCGGACGTCGTTACGGGCCGTGAGAAGGAGGGAAAATCCCGGGGAAAACGGGCGTGCATGTGTCCAACCGGTGAGAAATAGAGAAAGAACGGGTGGAGATGCTAGGTGCGGGGTGAAAGAAGATAGAGGGTGGATAGATTCGGTGAAAAGGAGGGCCCGAGAAGTGGCGTAAGCACGGTTGCATGCAGAATTCACAGGCGGTAGTCTCTATTATCGTGAATTTTCCTTCGGAAGTTATTGCAAGGAAGCGGCGGGCCGCGCGACGTCGCATTTTTCCCGGGCGACCGACGCCCACCGCGTCCATGTACGCGTATACATACGTACGTACCTCGCGGAGCTATTCCTCTTCTCCCTTGTTCCGTCTACGGTGCTACGAAACGCGCCGCGCCGCACCGTAAATCAGAACTTCGCCGACTCGTTTCGTAGTTTCACAGATTGCGAATTTACGCGGTTTATAGGCGACGCTCCAACGAGCGATTCAGATTCCTCTTCGGAGATTTTCTTGCTCAGAGAAACCGCGAGGTACGCCGGCTGCGTTGTGAATTTCCCTGAAATCATCGACGATCATTCCATTAACACCATTTCATAATATTCCGACAAATTCCAAAGTGCAGCTCAATTCTCCTTTAAATTTTATCTGCAATTGCGGCTGAAAGACGGATTAATTTTTCGAAACAGGAAATATTTGTAGATATATCATAGCTGCATGAAATATGAATGTGAATCGAGCAACATTTTGAGCTTTGGCTATAATCGATATTGCAGAGATATCGATCGCGCTGATAAATCAGAGTTTCGGCTCTCACCGCATGGCACTACAAATTGCGAATTTACGCGAGTTTATGGCTACGGTCGAGTAGCTGCTTTCGAAAAGAGTTACCGTTCGACCGGAATTAAACGCGACCGTCACGGTGTTTCGACGTCACGATGATTTTTACGAGCTTATGCCGACGTAAATATCCTCATAAATATCGTCATAAATATCGCATGAATTGTGGCTCCCGGTGAAACATCGAAATCGAGCGTCCGTGCAATTGTAATCAACCAATACGCATTAGTAACGCTTTGGTTAAAATGATTACAAATGCTGATTAATAACAAGGTGGCCAAATTTTCGAAATTATAAAATCATTTCATAAAAGCAATCACTGCAATTATTAAAGCAACACTTTCTCATTTCTTTTTAAATATTCGCCTAAAAAAAGATGTACATCTGGTCGCGTCATATAGCGCGTTTAATAAAACTGTATTAATGTGTATGCTTACCTCTAAAAAGATTGGTCGAACTCATTTTATTTCTCACAGTTTCACTTTGACTGCACGAAATTGTGCCACAAAATGAAACTAAAACACTTTTTCTCATAATACATTCAGTCGCGTTCATGAATGTAAAAAATTAACCGAAATTACCGAGAGTCGACGCAGTCAGTCACGAAGTGTAAAAGCTGTCTTAAATAACGACCGCGGTTGGCTTCGTTTTATTAATTGATCCGCAGCAACAAAATCGGCGCAGGGTGATTAATTAATCTGGGGACGTCCGTAAGGGGCACAGGGAGAAAAATGACCCTCCACTGGGTTTCTGACGAACGTCGATCGACGAAAGCGATCCGCGCTAATTTTTCACGCCAGGCCGAATGACCTTTCCGAATCGGATCCGATGAAATCACGCGAATATTTGCAATGAAATAGTGCGCGACGGCTTATCGCGGTTCCTCCAGCGGACGGGGGAAACGGTAGGTATTTCCATTAGTAGTTGAAATACGCCGGGAATTAGCGTCGTCCGAACTTGCATCGATACAAGCGCAAGCAAGAAACATCATTTGGCTGATTCGTCGAATGCAGTGCAAGATTTAACGACTTTTCTGAAAGCGAACTGGCAAAAACCAGTCGAGTACAGTGCCAGTCGTGCCGCGGGCTTGAAGTCCAGCTTTTTGCCAGAAGATCGGCTTTCTGTCTGAGCTAATTCTTATGCGATCGTAAATAACGTCGCGCATATATCAAAACTTACACAGCGCGACTTCCCAACCCGGAGTCCTGGCAATCGTCGCCAACGTTTCTATGCGTCGCAACAATCCTGCTTATCCCCGCTCTTTCCTCTCGTACTCTCTTTCCCCCGTTCGTCGAGCTACTTCCTTTCTCCATCTCTTCCTCCGTCACTACGACCGTTCCCGGTCTCATCCGCAGTCATAGTCGAGTTAGACTCCCTCGTTCGGTGATAGCAACTGCCAGAAGCACTTCCACCGTCCAGATTAAAGATACAATTCCGCGGTTCTATTAATTAAGAAAGTTAATTACGCTGGGATTCAATTTTCCTAATTGCACCACATCACGTTCTCGGTCCCCTCTTCTTACCCAACTTCTAGTCTCGATATCCTCATGCCACCGTCTCGCTTTGAGGGTACTCCGAATCCGTCGTCCAAAAAGTTTTTACCTAACCCTTTTCCTCCTTCGACATTTCGCCCCGCCAACCTCTCCCTTGATCTTCTTTCTCGTCGTTATCTTGCATCGGATCTCCCTTTCTTCATCCCCGAACATTCACCCTCGGACTAATCTTTTCTTTCCTCACGTTTTTCGAGGATCTTCGATGTTCAACCAGCGACGAAGTTCTGCGCTTCTCGAGCTAATCTTTTGGAATCCGTTCCGTTCCCAAGCGAAGTCGTCGTCTTTGAAGTTGTCCCGCTACGAGAGATTTTAATATTTGGCTCGTATTCAGCGGCAGCTATTAAGGACGGCTGATGGGCTTTTAGCGCTGTTGTGTCCGGATTACGAGTTGAACTGTTTGCCGAGGAAAAATTTGGCTAACTACTAGCTGCAGCCTCTAATAGCACTGACCATAAAAGGTTTAACGACAATCTCATATACGGATAAGAATTTCCTTTTTGCGTCACTTCCTTTCCATTCCATTTGGCTATTAGCAAGAATGTTCATAGCGAATTCCCGAATCTTAAGGAGCTAGGATGGTCAAGTGACTTTCTTAACATTTGTCAGTAAAATTTTTACGTTTTTTTTTACGGAGGATAAAATTTTTGGTCGTCAAGTACCTCTTTGGAAACAGGAAAGTTAAATCTGGCGTGCTCTAATCTTGATTTCACTCAAAGCAATCTTTTTTCGATACAAAACTACTTATAAACGAACGTATTGTAACTATGATTTTTCATCCATTTTATGGCACTCATATTAATAAATATTAGTATATTCTGATTTAATCATGACCAGGCCACATTTCATTTTCGTCTGTCTAAAGAGGTACGTGACGTTCCAATACGAAATTCTCACTCCAGGACGAAAACTGTAGTCTCGTAAATCCATACTTTTGGCTGACTTTGAAAATAACATTGACATTCTGTCTTATCGTGTCGTTATCAAAGTCTACTTATTTTCGATGGTTATTGGAGATATGATATTGATCTTGTAATCATCATCTTTGACCCGAATAGGACTCGCAGTTCAGAATGGTTTAAGGGCAATTGCGGTGCGCCTTGCGAATCGGCCTTTAAGAGCGCCGGTGATCTGGTTCATCGCGTTTGGCGGACGGTCTTATTGGGTCACTGCTAGTGATAATGGATCGTATAAATCAGCCATAAGAGGCCTGCTAAGCTAGCCCACTAAGCTTACCAATGAACGGTAGATCACCAGACGCTGCTATCAGACGCTACGAATTAAATATAGTATGCAGTGATTAAAGAAAATTATTAGGGACAGCCAGAGCAATTTGTGGCGTCCAACGATCCCCGAAGAGAGGGAGATTTTTCGCCCCAAATCGCACAACACATTACGCCGCTAATTGATCCACAGTCGTCCTTAAGCATTGTTTTCTCGATTGCACAGAACTTCGAGATTTACACTCTAGAGACTGATAAAATATTCCAAGAAAAATATTTTTTTTTTAATAATCTGCTTGTAAGAACAAACTAGGAAGTAAGCTGGTTTCAATGCCAAAAGTAATCTTTTCTTTCCTGAAACGCATATGGGCGAGAGACTGTTTGAATGAAGTATGTTAAAGTTACTTCCAGACTCGCTCTGGTACTATTCTTTTAAAGAACAATTACAGCCGAGTTCTAACAGATATAATAACGTCGCCAACTTTCTCTTCCTTTGTGGAATTACGTTTTTCGCAATTATTACAGTTTGCCGGAGGTCTATAACGTCGGAGCAAGGCAAGGGCGCTTGGGACGAGAGCCGATTGTCGGCTCAACTTTTAGTACGACAGAATCGATTCGTTAATGCGAAAGTCTGCCTGTTGTCGCGGAGCAGTAGACGGGTTAGTTCGCGTTATACGACTACCGTGCAGTCGTGAATGATCTACAAGCTCGAAAAGTTGCGCAAGTGACACTCCAGTTCCTCCTGAAGGAACTCCTGCAAATTGTCCCGTATCCTGCACGTTTTAGAAGTCGAACCTTCTTTGAGTACTACTCGTCGTACTTTAGACATGATACGGGAATCATTAGACCGGCCGATACTTGAACTTCGGCGAATACTTTGCCCGCCAAATGTTCGCAAACGCACGGCTTGCAGTTCTATTCGAATTCCGCGCATCTCGTTGGAATATTATTTTCCTTTCTACTTATCGCTCTATTAATCTAATTATCTGAAGTACGAAACTTACCAAGACCTGAACGAGAAAATTTTGACTGCTTGTCGCGGCAGGTGTGGCGGAAAATTTTTAATAACACAGAGAGACAAAAAGCAAGCCGGGTAAGAATGAATTTTCTGGCTTCAATTCCGCCAGTTATTTCAGGCCGGAAATTTAATAATATCGTAGGAAGTCGAGTTTAAAGGCGAGGAACAGGGACAAAGAGGAGTAGAAGGGACAGGGGAAGAAATCTGGGAGTCATGTAAGTGATAGCTCGAACAGTCGTCCAGTATTAAACTCCTAAGGGAGTTCAGCTTTGCGTATGCGCATATATTTAACAAATGAAATTAGCATCGTTCATCATTTTTCTTTATCTCTTAGGATAAATAAAAAATGCACATATCCCTTTTATAGTCAAAAATCATATAGGGAGTAAATTAGTTCGGTACGAATTTAAACAATTTTCATATAGTTTCACGTGACCGATCAAAATCTCCCAAGGGAATTAACATGATTTCCAAGCTCGCCTCATGAGCCTGAATAAAAGCACAAGTACGGTCGGGGGATTTCAATGACAAATATTCGATGCCCGTTCACGGCTATCATCGATTAATGCCAGGCAACGCCGACCGAAAATCCATCGATAGCTTGGTACTCTAATTAAACGCTCAATTGACCGTGCTCTATCCGGGCAGCCAATTAACTACCCTTGATACCCATCCTCGACAAAGGACGAGAGCGGATCGTACGCTGATCGTTCAGAATCCGTCGTGATCTTCCGGCCACGAGAAGCCAAGTACGTACAGGCTCCTCGAATACCGTCGAAACTGTATCAACCGCAAGCTATGGCTTTAGTACCTCCGATGTCCCTTCGACCGTAAACTAAATCGCATTGACAAAGATTTACACCACCACTTGTGAATCCCTTTCCCTGTTTGTACCACAAGATGTCATTCATTTCCTGTACGCTTTTAAATATTAATTCTGCAATCAGCTAATGAAACGAAATATTTTCATTTTTTCTCAAAATTAGTAGTACACCGTTTCATGTATTTTGTGTAGAGATTCTACAATTTTTTGAACTTCACAATTCTTATACAATTTTTACATAAGATGATTATGAACGAAGGTTGAATTGTTTGATGTCTCTGAGACTAATTAACCCTTGACTATAGTCACCCGGCACAAAATTTCGTATGTAAACTGGACTTGTAGTTTCGGTCTTCCTTGGTTTATTATCATATATAAATACATTGCTATGAATAAAAATTATTTTGCTTCCAAAAGTAGTGTTACAATGGCTTGAGACGAAAGACTTGACCCCGAACGCTGACGACCGTCCGTACGCGCAATGTGTACACTTTTGGCGGGCTCCCCGTTTCACGGGAAGCACTCCGCGGATCGCTGAAGCGAAAGGGTTAAGGCTCATTATGAGGTAGCATTTCCATATTGACCGACGCAGCTGTCTAATGATGTTAATTGCTTGCGGTTGTTTAACATTAATTAGATCCGTATTATATATATTAACGAGTAAAAGGATTAGTTAAATTTTCGGAATCAATGCCGATAACACAGAATTATTTATAATTCTAGAAAATGATCGTCATTTCTCCGTGTGTAATTAGAAGCCTGAGCGTAGTCAAATAAATGTTGCAAAATGAATTGTTTTAAAGATTTCCCATGCATTTAATTCTTAAAAATCTTTTTTTCCTTTGGCCAGAAGTGTAATATCAAATAAAGCGGACTTGATATTTATACTGCAAATAATTTTGTCGATTTATATTCGAATTGAAAAGTTTCATTGCTCGCCGTTCGCCGAAGAAAGGAATAAGTTCAGAACGGGAAGGATCATTCGCGCGGTGATTTAATATCACGGCGTTAAGCCGCGAAGAAACTTCCACGCGTGTGAATTTCGACACGCTTATGAAATAGGTTTTGGCAAGCGTCAAGCGCCGTACACTTGTAAGCGCAGCTGAGCACGCGTGCACGTGTCCAATGCCGTATGCTCGCGGCGCACTCTTTATATTCGCGTGCCAAGCGTGTAAAATCTTTATTGCGCGCAATATCCATTCAAATTTCTCACCCTCACAGGGTCCGATGTCTTGTTCAACCAGATATTCATTTCTTGAATTGAAAATTACAAAAAGTGTGAATCTCGAAAGTATGGCATCGTACTTTAGACGGGATTTAAACGTTCGCTATATTATTTATATCATATATTGTTCAGCTAGTAACAATGAATCTGAGTCAGCTCCGGCTTGTGTTAATTTCCTCTAGTGGGACGAAATTCAAAACGAGTGACAAGTCTGTAGCTGGTATTCAGAATCGTTGCTTATTCTTAAGATTTTCGTTTTAAGCTCTTGCTATCCTTGTCTATCATATTTCCAGTCCCTGTTGTGTACAGGAAGCAGGGATTTAAGCAAATGCTTAAGGCGATCTTAAAAATAAGTAACGACTCTGAATACCAGCCACAGACTTGTCACTCGTTTTGAATTTCGTCCCACTAGGGGAAATTAACACAAGCCCGAGCTGGCTGAGATTTATTGTTACTAGCTATATAGAAAAGAGAGATGAGAACTCTTCTTATTCGAATCCAATAAAACAATCTATTTAAAATTTAAACTGAGTTAGATGGTTTGGTATATTTGGTAGTACGTATACAGTATCAATTATTTGAGAGTAATTGTACGTTATTTCCTTGACCGAGGGCGAAAGGCGTCCAAGTGGTAGCTAAATCGCGCGGTAATTAATGAAGAACCTTAGCTAGGAACCGGTGACGCAGAAAAAACCAATAATCCGCTAGTCCCCGTGAGACATTAATTTACGAGTGACTGAAATCATTACTCTTTCGCGGTCGGCCACCGCCGTCGATATCTTTCCCGCCTTTCTCTATCCTATTCCTCTGATTGCAAAATCGGTGAAAAACAGAAAGAGATATCGTCGTTAATGATAAATCTATGATTGTTCCGTGTTTCGGCAAACAATACCCAGGCGAAACTGAGAAAGAGTGTTTTATTTCTGTTTCAGGAGAACGTACGGAAGCCATGCAACGTGACGCCGGATACGTCTCTTCCGGATGTGACGTCAGCCACTGGGCCGGGTTTCTACTTCCGTTCTTGTGGTTTCTAATACTCGCACGAAACAGCCAAACTTTCCTGCAATAGCGCACAACCCGACAGTATTTCACGCGCGCCTTTGTCTCTCTCTCTCTCTCCCTCTCTCTGGTTCTCTATTTATCTTTCTCATTTTGTCTCTCTTTCTCTGCCTATATTTCCCCTGTTCTGCCGACGGGGGCGAAAGTACCTAGAAATTCGACCAACGGCGACTAGATCGTAAGCTAGATATGTAGGAATTATTGAAAGAGGGTAACGAAGCGCCACACGACGAATCGGAACCCCAACGCTTTCATTTGAATTTCAAGCAAACACTGGAACGCGAAGAGTTCGTTGCTCGTCGAGTTCGAAATTTATACACTTTTTCGTGCTGTAAAAAAGAAGAAACGTTCGAACACTTTTTCTGTAAAACTACACGATAGATTTTACAAGAGAGTTTCCAGCGAGTGAAATGAATTGCTTAGTTAAACAAAGAACGGGAGTTATTAAAAGGCTAAAAATACCGTATAACTGAAATATGGGCTTCAATAAAACGAAGCGTGCTTCACGAAACACTTGCAAACTAAAGTGAACAGTAAAATAGCAAATGTTTGAACACGAAGAACGAACAAAGTATGACGTACGGTGATTTCTTTAGGGATTATTAACAAGAATCGAGCTTACAAGGCAATTTGAGGGTAATTCATCGGAAAAGTGGCAGAAACGAGAGTCACTGCAGTTGCAGAGTCTGGTAAATTTATTTTTTACGTAAATAATTCAGTGAGCGGACCGCATCGACGAAGGCGCGCAAAAAGACGTGCAGGCGCCGCCGTTCCGATTCGCGACGCTTCTTTGATCGTCCCTCTTCAAGTCAATGGGATTAAAGTGGCCGAGTAACATCAAAGGATGTGCAAGTAATTTGATATCCCGTATCTTAGATCCGATGCTTCTCTGACGCCGAGGAACAGCATTAATGAAATTTTCTTCCTTCTTATTCATAACTTCAGTTTAGAAAGCACCGAACCGAACGGCTGTCCACGATAACTTCTTAGGCGAACGTCGCGTGATTGTAAATAATATTACAATTCGCCGTTATCCTCGTTAGCTTTAGTTATATGTATTTATAAGCGTTTAAAACGGATCGATACCGAACCACGCACAACTAGCGCCACGATTAAGATATTTATTGTCACGGTAATTTAAGCGAAACCGACGTTTATCAGTAATTTTCTTTATAGACAAAAAGATGAAATTATAATAGTAATATCAGTTTTTTATTCGACATTAATGTACTATAAATTACTTCGATGCAGTTTGAAAAATCTGTAGAAAACAGGAGATATGAAGTATGAAAAAAAGCGTGCGGATAAATTTTTTTTATAGGAAATAATAATTCAAACTGGACTCGTTTCCATTATAAATGCCTGAATTTTAATCAAACGAAAATCACGACGAATTTATCTGTATATTTAGATTTAGTGGGGCACGAAAATATTTAATTGTACCTATAGAATTTCGAATACACGCCCGAATACACATGAATATATTTCTAAATAATAAAACCATTCGAACGGTATCATGAGTTCGGCTTTCATTTTAACGCCATTCTTGAAACGAACATGCTGAATTGAAATGAATTTCAATCGGGGCAGGAAGGGACGGGGGCAAGAGATAGAAAGGACGATCTTTGAAGCGAAATCCAGGAAATCAGTAAGTCCGTGACCCAAAACGAAGGGAGTGACTCTCTCCGTGGCGTGGTTCGAATCCACGCCGCGCCGCCGCCGCGCTGTTCGAAGCTTGAAAAATCGTTTCACGGTTCGCGGGTTTTCAACGTACCCGAATACTTTGATGCGTTATGAATTACAAATAACCTGGGAGCCGCTGGTTCGCGAAAGCGCAAACGCCGGGGTGACGAACAGATTAAATATTTGATCGTCCCGGTAAATTGCGCTCCCGTTTACGAGAACGTGCCATGTGTGCATGTGTATGTATGTGGACGCCCGGCGAACGAATGAGTTACCCACCCTCTGCTTTTTATCCCGGACGTAACCCCTTGATACGTGCGTGTCGACCCGTTACGTAACCTTGTGTGGCCTGGTTTTACACTCCGTCTCACCCCTTTCACACGGCTGACGGTCTAGCCGAGCCGGGCTCAACTTAACAATGGCCCCCCCGTGACGTTTCAACGCATTCCTGGACACGCGACCGCGTGCCCGAACGCTAATAAAACCGTGACGCCGTCGTAGCTATTATGAATCGCTCGTCTTCCAGTTGGACACTTAAAATAAACGATCTCGAGTGGCGTAATAAGTCGAGAATAATCGGCGGAATGAGTAATGACTAGTAATGAATTAAGTTCTTTACCACAAATGACTTCTTCGTTATCTAATCGTAAATGAACATTTGTATTTTTTTTTGTACAGAGTATAATATGTACGAAGTACGAAAAAGTAACAAATTTAATAAATGTAACGCGATTGTAATGAGGAATTACGCAAAATACGTGAAAACGGCACGTAATTTCGACGTGACCTGAAGTTTGAAGGGTTAATTCGATGGAAGCAACTCTGAAGATTTGACCTCGGAAATTTTCTTAACCGGAAATTAACATTTTGTCCGATAAAGAGAACAAAGATTAGGATCTTTATAATTTCGTGAGAAAAACGAGGTCTCTTTCAGCCGACTACAAATATAATTTTATCCCAGTTTTGCGGTACGAAATAATAATGAAAGCTGAGCTGGTTGGAAAACATTGGAGGCCGAGTTTGCCGAGGTCAGGCAAAAAGTTCTGGCGAGGTCGTCTTGCGCAGGACAGCGGCACGGTGGACGGGCGAAACGGTATTTGGAAAGTACGTGGCTGGTACGGGGAAAGGGTTGAACCTGGATGACAAGAATCTCGTCCGGAAACGGTTACCACCGGCGCTGCAGCACCAATACTATTGCATAGCATGACCGTACCTGACAGACCCGTTGCAACGCTGTCCGAACTTGAAAAATAATTCAGTACGCAGTAATGCCCTGAATATAAAATTCTCGGGGAGCCAAGCCAATTTCGAGGCGGAAAGAGGTGGATCGGGCATCCGGCTTGAACGCGCGCTAGCGACGAATTTTCATTTATAAATTCCGAAAACTTCAGCTCGGATCTCACATAAAATTGCTTCGAGCTCCCGGGTTATCCTCACCGTACGAGCTTGTGGGGAGCTGCGGGGTGGGAAGGCGGGGTCTTCTAAATTAATTCGTGAGCCGACCGAGATTCTTTCGGATTTAACTTTCGTGCGATGTTAAATAATGGCCCGTAATAATTAATTACACAGCGACACGGTTCGTTTTAATCCTGGCTGATTAAGACCCACCATTCGATGGCCTATACTTCGTTTATTTGCTGTAATTCTGAATGGAATTCATCTCACTGAAGAGAATAAAACTGCTTTTTATAAATTTCAACCATTTAGAAGAAAGCAACCGGTATATTTTTTATCTTAAAATCTATTGAAGCGTTAGGTGCACTGATCTATTGTATTGCACAATAAATTCGTATAAAAATAGAACTTTTGAAATAACCTCAGCTTCCAATGGAAGACACGCTTAAATCCACGATACTTCTTAAATACCCGATTTACGTATCGATTAGATTTCTGTGAATGCGGCAACTCTAAAATTAGAAATTATGGTTGCACGGATCGTTTAGAGTATCCGTTTGAACAAAGCGAGACGAGGCGGGGGCAAGAATAAAATAACGTTAAATTTACGACGGGCCGTGAATCAACATGCTTTATGATTGTTCGGGTTGCGGATGATAAAGAGCGGGGGAGGGAGTGAGAGCGAAGGAGGTGCAGGTAGACCGTGGAGGCTGAACGAAGGTTCGCACGGTTCGAAGTGCCGGAGAGAGGGTGGTAGGGTGAAAATTGGAAAACTGCATTGTCCAGCAGCTCCGTTCCTGCGGGACACATTCGTTAGCAGGCATCGTCCACTGGCAATAAATTTTCGCGTATCTTCCGCGGTCCCGTCTTTCATTCTTGTTCAAATTAAAGATCAGCACGCGATCCAGTGGACCCAACGCCGGCAACAACGGAGAGTACAAGATTAGCGCAATTCGTTTCCTTCATGGATTCCAATAAAGTATATCGTTATCATAAATAAATTCAATTACGTATTATACTGACAATCTGTCGAACAGTGCATTATTGTTTTATATTTATCGACCAATTACACTTTACTCAGATAATGTCACTAGAAACTAATGGAACTATTAAGAAATTGAGATAATCCTTTTGAAATTTTTCCAAAAACTTTAATTCCATAGCTCATTTCCTGTTCCCTTTAGCAGTAAATGTGTCAGTTTGAATGAAGCAACAATGGACGGCTGTTTTGTAAAGCGCGTTGGCAAATTACAAGCAATCGATTAATCTGTTTCCTTCGTTCGATCGAATTTCCAATGAGCCCGGTCCGTATGAAACGTTTCAAACAGAAGGAAATGACAGTTAATTTTCATCGTCATTTGCCTCATTACCAAGCAAACGAATGAGAGAGGATTGTGTTTCCCATAAAAAGTGTTTGTAATCTTGCTTTGTTGACGCGCGATTCAATTTCACTGTAACGAATAAACAGATACAAACGAATGCTCCGTTTTGCAGCACGCGACGCCATACCACCCGCTCTCCAATTTGTTGGAACCGCTCGCGTGAATAGCTACGAAAAACTGGGCCGATTTAGAGCCACCACCGCATCACGAATTTTCGCAAAGTGACGAGATTTCGACAAAAATTCCATCTACCAAAGTAATCTGTTTCCAATGGCCATCAATATATTTCCATCAAAAATCGGCCAAAAAATGTGCTCGCAATTGAATAGAAACCAAATAAATTTATACATATAATTGACGTTCAAACGAGAAAAAAAAATCAGCATCTAAAAAGTACTCTAGTTTCTAACTAATTCTTTACTGAGCTTTCAGTAGTAGATTGCGAATCTGTATGCAAAATGAAACACGTCAAATTTAAAAAACGTGTTTTAAACAATAATTCCTTTTATCGTTTAAATATTGCAATATAAATGCAGCTTTTGATATTATATTTTATGTATTTTTGCGCATCATACACAGCGCTTCAATTTTTCACAAATCGAGTTTTTCTATAAATGCATAAAATCTATGGTCCAGTGATAGCAGTGCGTCTATTGACTGACGTACGTACTTCTAATCGGTTTTCCTTGTCAAAGAGAAATGGAAGGAGAAATTATGTTTACTGCTAAAACCTGTACACGCCATCTTGTCCCGTTAACTCGCGATTCGGTTTTGCTATAACGAACGATCAGACTCGAAACGTTTACTCCCTTTTCCCCTTGTTCGCGTGTGCCCCAATCGCAGGCGAAAAGCCGGAATCGCTCTTGACTATCGAAAACCAATTAAACCCGATAAAATATCGACAAACAGTACTCTACGGACGGTTGATATTTTATCAACCGTAGCCCGCAATCGTTTTTTGCAAACTTTTGCCATTGGTTTACGAGAAGAAGCAACCGGCGATACGTTACACCATCGTATTTTGTAAATTTAATTATCCTTCAGGAAACAGACAGTAAAGTATTAGGTTGCCGTGTTTCATAACTTTTGTGTTCCAGTTCCGTTCCTTTCTTTCTTTTTCAATGCATGACATGTTTTTGAGAAAATGAAGAAGTAAAGTGAAATAAATTTTACGCGCCACTGTTCTTCAAAAATGTGTTCTGTTAATGTAAGATAATATTTTTTAAACAATTTGTTAATAGGAAAGTTTGTTGATCAATATTCAAGAATTTCAATTTTTCGGAATCGGACTGGCACTGTTTCCGATAGTAGAAAAACGGGGACAGCTTGTCGAATGTTTGCACGCAATCAAGAGAGATTAGCGGCCGCGAATTGGTTGAACGATCGACCAGTTCGAAAAGTTCGTCGACCATGGAACTATTAAAGGAAGACGAGTCCGCGCACCGAGCCTCGGCAATATATTTCACCCTGGCCTGCTGTTGGGTATGTACAATTGATCCTCCCATGCGTGTTCAACAATTTTTCCCTTTTTTTGTACAACCTCTCGTTTAGTTCACGCGTACACACGCCCGTGCTTCCACTTTCCGGACGTTGAGCCTCGTGCCTGGAAATCACCTATTGGGTCGCGTTCACACGCGTCCCATTGCCAGTGGGACGCGAACGAAATACATATCGAATGAGCGTTCGACTTATCATGAATCCTTTCCATTTTAATTAACGAAGTAGGAAAAGATGTCACACTTGGAATCTGAAGAAACGCATAAGTAGAATGAGCATAGCTAAAAAGGTAAAGAATAATCGCGAGATGAAGAGGACGAGAAACTGCCAAGGGACCCGGAGATGGTGGAAAGAAGAAAGACAGGATTTTGGCAGGGATGACTATAGATTCGAAAAAGCCACGCGTTTTACAAGTTCTTCCTTTCTGTTCCCCTCCGTCGACTCGGGGTGGATTCGGGACCATGGCGATTGTGTCGAATCCGGGTGTACCTGAAGCCTGGATGTCGTTGTTCACGCAGCGGATGATGTCTAGAGACACTCCGGGACCCGTCGATTGTTTTTCGGCGGCGGGTGAAATTGATTACTTTGGCGCCTGGGGAAATATGATGTAATGGCTCTTTGTCGTAAGCGTATTAATCGCGTATCCCCTTATTTTATATATTTCTCCTTTCTTGCCATCCCGTTTTTCCTTCGTCTTCTCTTTTGCCTTCTTTCTTCGAGACCGGCGAGTCTAAGAGAGATTGAATCTGAAAATGTTCCGAGGAGAATTTGACATTTGCGAGATTAAGTGACGCTTCTTGTGGTCACGTCGCCGCGCCGCTGACGATGATAAAGCGTCGGATCAAATTTTCGAGCAGTTTCACGTATAATCGGAATTTTCGGGTTGAGTGTTATCGATCACCGTTCTTTTTTCTCCTCGCCGTTCCTTGTTTTCCCTTTCGCTTCTTTAAATCATCAAAACTGTTTGGTAACCGTCGCTCGGGCAAACAACAAACTCGTTTTCCACCGCTGCAGCGAGAAATTGCGTCGAACGGTGTGCAAACGTTCAAGTAATTTGCGTATCGCTCCGATCTCGAGAGGTAACGTCGCGTCGCGTCGCGTTGGCAAGGAACGTGCCAAGAGTAACGGAGAACAGTTTCGTTGTTACCCCGGTTAAAAATAAAGACGACGAATGAGCGGAGAGAAAATGAAAAATGTCGATGCGGAGGGTGCACACGAAACGTGGTAGTCGTTTTATATCATCATTACATTTATTGAAACAGTATTCACGTCGATGAATATCTTTACAGTATAATAGTTCATACTCGTTTCTGCCGCAATATTTTTTTTTGTTCTTATCACTGCCACTTTGATTCATGCTGACTGTTCTCTATAACATGGTACATTATCGATTATGAATTTTTCTCCCCTTTCTCTTTATGTACAACGCGATCTAGGCTTAACTATAAATTGTGCAACATTCCGTAATTATGCGGGTCGCGATTATCTAGTGACATAATTAACGTGTAAAGCTCGACACCGGGACTGGGATAGAATAGCACGGGATCTTCTGTATCTCGACGATCGATCGGTCAGTCGCGTTATCGAGTTGTAACCCGGCGACAAACGGGCAATGATCGAAATACACGATCGGCGATGGGATGACGATCGTATCCCAGATCCGTGACGCGTTTTACGCGTTCCCCGACATTTCCCCGTTTCATTTTTCTGATTACATATTGACAGTTAACGCGTGTCTCCGAGCGAACGAGTTACGTCGAATATACTGTGTTCCTCGTTCAATTTCGCGCTTGAAATCGGTGACCGATCACCGTGCGGAATGTTGACGTCAACTGTATCTACGAATATGTGACATCAAACCTAGATCATTAGAATCGAACACAAAGGAACGAGACTCGATGAAGATCCAGAGTAGAGCATCTGCTGCACGTATCAGGAAAGAATAGAAATTCTCGTTCACCGATTCTGACAACTCTTTATTCTCCTCTCCTTCTCGCATTCTTCCTTGTACGCTCCGTCCAATGGTATTTCAATTGTCAAAATCCGTCCCGAAAATGCTAAATTCTTTTTTGAATAATATCACACACGAATAACATCCAAAACCGGCCTGGCCGATCAGCTTAATTTCTTTCGCGTCTCGTTAGTCTCGTTTTTAGTCTCTTTTTTTTGTAGCTTTTCATGTTACTTTAATGCTATCTTCAGGAGTCAACTTGAAAATATTGTCCTCTCACAACGACATAAATTACTGTATAAACTATACAAGAAGGAATAATGTGTCGTATCGCGAATCTCCTCGCATCGTCGCTGCAAAATTGTTAACACTATTAACGTGTTGTTCTGGCAGTCCGTTTCACACCGCGTATATGTACGTACGTATGTCCTATTTAATTCCTCGCCACGTGGTATAACATTATAAAAAATCTATTTAGACCTATTATAATTAAGTCGCGCCTTAACTCACTATACCGTTATGATATCGTTTCTCTCTTTCGATCGTTACATTGTATATTCGTAGTAAATCTATTGATTGATTAATTCAAGTTTACTACTATTATGTGTGTGTGTGTGTGTGTGTGTGTGTGTGTGTCTTCGGATTGCGCGTTAACTTCGAATAAATGTCTGTGTGATTAGAAGAAACGGAAATCAATTTGTTTAGTACCTCGTGTCGATAATGTTCGTAGTTACCTTAAATTAAATTCGATGCTCGATCGACAGTTGAAATTTTTACACACGTACTTCTAATTCATTCTCGTCGAATTGTACTTGACGTCGGTAATAGTAACGGAATGGTTTTCTTCACATAACGGACACCTGTTAGCGATACTCTTAATTATACATTTACATTATCCTCGTTTACGCTTATCTATACACGAGCTCTATATATATTTATATAATTCGCGTTTCGTAGAATTCGTATTCCTTACAAGATATATAATTCTCTTGAAGAGTGTGATTGCATTTTGATTAGACGTTAAACGACGACGTGTCAGCGAAGTTTAATCGTGAGAAGTTAAGTCGGAAATAATCATTTTAGAAAATAACAAGCACCGATAAAACAATAGCGTTTTTCAGAAAACTTACAGTGAGCAACAATGAATCGATACCGTCCCCTTCGAACAAACAGAAAAGGACCGAGCCTGATCGATGAATTATTAAATTCTAAACACGAGAGCGAGAACGATTATACGTCGATGAAAAATCTTTTAAATTTTGAAACGACGTTGCCGACTGATTTCTCTGATCGATAATCAGTAACGATGAAATTACGGATATCTCGATGCTGACGCAGGCCAATCAATCAGATCTGGACAAATTGTGTGTGATTCGATTCCAAGTGCGCGATAATCGTCGAGTATCCTACGCTTTAAAACGAGATTTTAGAGGGGAACCGAACCTGTTCCTCTATGTACAAACACTGCCCAGATCCGACCTGTTTCTCATCACGTTGTGCTGTACAAACGAACCCTATTTATTGAACGCCGTCCCCACTTTCTTTCTTTTATATACAGAGAAACTTCTATCTACGCGATACGGTTCAACGGTAATTAATCGACTATCCGACGTCCGATTGTAAGCCTTTGATTCGCGTGCCCGACGATTTCTTCGACGAGCTCTCGTCCGTCCGGGAACAACGCCAGACACATACGTTCCATCGATCGCATCCGTTTCGCAATTTCAAACGAGACGCTCGTAAGTACGCAACGCGGGTCACATCAAACGAAAGTCATTTTTCATACACGATACCTTACGAAAGAGCCACATCAACGCGAACCACACGCAGTTGACACAAGAAAGTTGCTAGAGAAATAGACATAGGAATAATAGTTCGTGTGGGACAAATTCAAGGTAAAAACGTACGTGCGTATGCAACGTCGAGCTGCACTATTCACGTCTATCACACAGGCCAGATCCACTACACTTTGTCCACGCTTGGATCCTTACGTTCTCCATTTCTTTTCACCGCGACCTCTGCGCTTGTGGTTTCTCGAGCGGAGAACGTGGTATCCTTCGTTCACATTTTACCTTTGCGTGCGACGCTGGTCTATGTGGCAGCCGGTTCACGGGACGAGCTCGAACAGCTCGTAGCTTCGAAGCCGCACGATTCACAACGAGGCTGCTCACCTTAGCAGATTCGAAATCACCAGTGTAAACGTCGCCAATAGAATGGTGGGCGTGACGCCGCAGCTGCCGCCGTGTTGCATGGCCGCCGGATGTTCCCCTGTAACAGAGAACAACTCTCGTTCTACTTTCTACTTACCCTCAATTCTACTGTTCTGCTTTGTCGCACAATTTTCTTTCTTTTTTCCAGAAACAAGCTACAGCTAGACTAACTCGAGTCCCATTGTTGCTTTTCCGTTGAGCAAGAAATGTATGCCCGTGTATTTCGTGTAAGCAATATACCTTCAGCGCACGTATTTTAATTGAAGTGACTTAAATGTTCGTATCATTTTCTATTTCAACCCGTACATAGGTACTCATTTAGGAAACTTGACTATCACTATTCAACTTATTTTTTTTGCTACAAACGCTGTGTGTTAACTAGTTACGGAAGCAGCAGGAAGCACGAAGCCACCGGGGATACGGCGTAGTAACATTAATCAGAAACTATCCCCTCTGTAGGAGCGCACGATTTCCATACATAGATTTCATATATCCAGACAAATGCTAACGGTGTATCGACCGGATGAGGTAGCTCCAATGTACGCAACGTCCGGCAGTAATAAAGATAATCACGATGCCGGTATAACACGGTTAGACGAGTTCGGTTCCTCCCGTACACCCGGCGGAGAACCGATTTACGATCGGATCGAAAATCTCATTGGGTCGGTTCCGAAGGCCGAGTTAGGGTTAGCCCGGCGCGGCACGGGTGTGTCACGGCGCGGCTGTGCGCCGAAAAACGACGCCGTTCGTCGTTGATCCCTCGGCCTGGAGCGGCCGCGTAATTGCGTTAATGCGCGGATAGTGCGCGCAACTACGGATAAGCTGAGCGGCACCGAGCGCCGCAGGTTTATCGCGAAATAATTGAAATTTGCGGTCAATTTTGCCGAGTAATCAGCTGTGTTTGAAATAACGTCGATTCCGGAACGCTATCCCCGCTGTGTCCGGCCAGATTGTAAATTAATTATGCAGACGAGCTGCACAGCATTAATTTTCATCTGCCAGCCACCTACGCCGGAATCCGGCGTTTTGCCTGGGCCGCGAATCATTCGCGAGATTCCGAAACGACGAGCAACGGTGCTCGATGACTGTTTAAACCCGCGCAGCGGCCGATCGATGCCGTTTTATCGTACGCATCGGGGCGGGCTCGAAAGTATGCGCGATTGAAATCCGCTAATGGAATCGAGTCTACTAATCATTGAACCATGGTTCATATATGTTGATTATCATCAGTTCATTGACGACAGGTCATTCTTGACACGGGCATTTTATTCAATATCATTTCCGGCCTCAGAACTAAATCCAATTATGAAGCTTCTCGCATTTTGCTAAATCCATTTATTCAAATATGACAAACAAGAAGTTGTGCTTTCTTGCAACTCTTACTTGCATGTAAATTGTCAATAAAAAGATAATAATAACTCAGTTATTACATCCATGAAAGATTTATAATACAAATGCACATTTGACGTTATATTATGCGAGCGAAATCACGAGTCATATAATTAGAAGACCTGGAAGATTACATTGTAACACTGCTTTCATGTTGCTTCTAGCCTGCTTCGACCGTTAATTTTCCTAAAACGCCAGCCAGTCTGAAATTACGACCGCAGCAACGAGCTGTACGACAGGCGAAGGGAAGTAAGTCGTCGCTTAGCGCGGCGTGACGTGCTTCAGGCCGCGACTTTCCACGCGATCAGGCTCTCGCGGGGGCCTGCCGATGATTGACAGTACGAATTGGTGAAGTTGCCGCGGCAAGATATTGCACACGTTACCGTGAGTGTAGCCGGCTGACAATAGATCAAAACCAAGTGTACGTAGGTACGCATACGAAGGGCCGAACACTTGCCGTGGCCCCAATATACGAGCCTGTCAAACTTTATGATGAGGGATTTCGATGCTTGATGAATGAACACGCCGCGCAGCCCGTCCTCTTTACCGTCCCGCGCCGCGCCGTTCCGCCATTCAAGTTGCACAGCCACGATACGGGGACAGCCATTGTCGTGGAATTTGTCGAACAATCGTGGCGCGAAGGGGCGGCGATACGTCTTCGCCGTCCGACTCTAGCCTGCTGTTCGTCGGACGGCGGCGGCGTTCCATGATTTTCAAAGTGTCAGACTCGGAGTTTCGGTTGAATAAAATTCATACCGAACTTCGTGCTTCCTGCGGTCACCCGTGGACACGAATATTTATTTATATTAATATGCATCGATGGCGGGTCGACCGAAACACTACTGCCTGCCACCGCACGGCGATCACAAAGTAAAAAAAAAAAAAAAAAAAAATGGACAGAATATTCGGACTTTTATATCCTATCTAACATACATTTATTTTAAATGCCAACATTTATTATTACTATTTACGAATAAGACATTCATAGATTTTTTAACGTGATTCTTGTTTTGTACAAAATAATGATGGCGAATATCACGCTGGAATTACCGGAGCGTTAAAGTATTTGCGGTTTAGCAAGGAATTCTGGCCGCCGATTTTACCGCGCGATTTCTCCCGTTAAATGCATTTGCTAGCGACGTTTATGGAAGGGCGTGTGCATGACGTAGCCTCTGAAAACGTTTGAGCGACTCGCATAGAACGTACAGAAAAAAAGAGAGGAGGAACGCGCCTAAAAATGCCCGCATATTGATGGCATGTATTGAAAAAGCCGCTATATCGATTCAAAATAGATAGCATCAGTCTGGGTATAAAAATAAATCGACGGGGGAATAAAATTTCTCCGGATCCGGGATAAAACGCGAACCAATAAACGAATCGAATGCGCGGGAGCTTCGATTTGAAGCTCAAGTTTCCTCGGCGAGTAGCCCGTTCCGCTTTTCCATCCCCCTTCTCGCGATAACCCGTATCATTCCAATTTCGTTCCACCTTCAATATAATCAGCTTAATAATAATTAATCGAAACGATTCGAGATATACTGTAATAATCACTGGATTACTCACACGCCATTCGTACGCACGCGAGATTGTTAATAATTTTTCATGTATTTCATATCAAACTCGATGAATTTGTAACCTCTCAAAATCAACAGCTACAAAATCCCGATTTAATCCGTTAAATAAAATTCGTAAGGGTCACGGAAGCGAATGATGACGAATAATAAATATCTTTCAAGCAAGATAAACGGTGTCACGAGAAGAGTGCGGATCGATATTAAGAAATTTGAGTGTCACGGCGTAGCTATCACTGAGCGCAAGACTGATCGTCGCCCGAGTGCGGGAAGAAATTAAATTGAACCGTGAACGGGGGGAGGTGAGTAAAAGGGCAGACGGTACAAAGTCGAATGAGAAGTTCGTCGGGATAAAAAGAGCTGGCTGACTATCTTACCATTCAGCACGTGGACCACTACGCTGGCTGGTTTCGCGTTGCTGGGAATGCAGGTATAATTTCCGCTGTCGCTCAATCTGGCCTGTGTCACCAGAAGTCTGCTGGTCGTGCCGCTTTCCGTCTTCTCCGTCTCCAAGGAGACCCCGCCCCTGCGGTGAACGCTGAATTATCAAAGATACTTTGCTACTATTCCACCGTACACACGTTGCATTACATTTGTTGGGAGTTTCTAAGGGCGCTAGACGGCCGCGTTACGGCAACTTGCACGCGTGACGCGAACCTCGACAAGCACCGAGACACAGTGTCACGTGTTATCTAGTTTTCGCGATTCGTACGATAATACAGTTCTATTATTTCTGAAAACTTTAGTCGATTTTCGTTACAAAAATAATGCAGATATTTCATTGAAACCTTTTTCACGTATTTTGAACGGGAAATTGTTTATCAGTAATACTGTGTCTTTTACAAAATTCATGGGTATAGCTAATAGCTAGTAGGTTCGGGTGTAAAGCAATCGTATTTAAAAATGTAATTCACAATACTCTTACACGCTCATATTGTTGTTGTATTCTGAATGAAATCACGGCAAAGCAGACGGCGGCGCGGCGAATCGAAAATCTGTTATTTAAACGATACGGAAATGGCAGAAGTTTTGTCGGAAAGGCGAAGGTATAATACGTGTACGCGTTCGGTGCATTCTGTATGGGACGAGCAAGCAATAATCGTAACGTAGCCAATCGAACGGAAGCGAAGTAGATTCGTTCACCTCCTCTTTCTACGTGAAATATAAAGGGTGAGGAAGTGGAGGTGGGGCATTTACGGAGAGAACTCGAGAACTTGATTCTAGTGGCTTGTACCTGGGACTGTCGAAATCCACCACAGCTTCACCGTGATGCCACGAAACGCTGCTGGGCGGCGTACTTTGCACATTAACGGTGCACGTGAGGCTTATCGTGCTACCCTTCTTCACGTAGACGTCTTCCGGGTTCAGGATTTTCGCCTGAGCGGCTGTAACACACATCGGAAATCGGCCACTTAAACATTCCGTCCTCGGTGCTGCTTAAATTTCGTTTATTTGCTTTCTGTTTTCTTCTCTTTCCCTTTACCGAAGAAAACGCGATGTCTACACTATCTCATGAATCCCGCAAGTTTGTTCAAGCGCGTCCCGAAGCCACTTCTCGAAGCCAAAACACGATACTGTGCGTTGAAAAATTTACGTTCACGTGCAATGCGACGTACAATCTCGTTTGCGTGACAACAACTCAGTGATTAGTCGTAATAAAAGTGAGTACCGTGTACAAAGATTCAAATTGTTCTTTAAATTGCGTTTAATTATAATGTGCCGTTTGTATTACGGAGCGTAAGATTCGGTGTCAACAAATTATAGCGTACAGACTTAAATTCGTTATGCGCGTCTCTGTATGTGTGTAATACTGTATGCAAATGTCGGCGACGAGTATTCGCCAACTTCGTGGCTCGTGACTAACATTCGAAATGAATCTTGGATGGAAGTTTTAATGGAACTTCGAAGTTGGGGTTTGGCGAAAACAGAAAGGAAAAACCGCGGCCTAAACTCACGTTGTTGCCGTGAATATTTTAATTGCTACGAAAGTGGAATCCTACGGTACTAGCCAGATGCCCGAGCGGCTAATGACTGATTCATTCATCAAACGAAAGTGTCACAGTGTGCCTTCGCGTAATCGAGGTCATGCCAAATGCCACGTGAAACATACATCAAATCTTTTCATTCACTCTTTATCTGGGTGCAAAAATCCGAATTCATTTTTCAACCAATCAAAGCCGAAAAGTCATCCTTCAAATTTTCCGCAGCTGGAAGGGGATCTGACTTATTTTATCCTTGAATCATATATAACATTTAAAGCAGATGAGTATTCTTGAAAGAGACTTCAAAGGATATTTCTAAATTTGAGTATCGAAGAAATATGCTCATATTCCAAAACTATTTAGAAAGTGCTCGCTGGACGAAATAAGTCTCTCTATCTCCTTTCATAGCACAAAATGGTATAAAGTATCAAAGCAGGAAGCGTAACTTGGATCATCCACCGGAAAGCGGATCGAGCACGCACGCGATTAGCTCGTTCACTAATCTCCCCGTGCGGCGTCGGGGACTCCGTCAAACAGTATTATCCCACCGATGTTAATTTCGTGGCAATTAGAAAACGAGTCGTCCCATTCCAAGGTTCGTGGTCGGTTTCCGTGTCGCGTTGTGTGACGATCAGCGAAACGGATATCTTTACCGCTAAAGTCAGCTCGACTGGCCCTCGTAAAACAAAACCGTCCGGTTGACGAGGATGGGGGTTGAATTAATTAACACTAAATGGGGAGGACGTTGCATGCACTGATAGGGCACGAGCCGTGGCGCACAGACATGCACGTAGCCGAGCAGCACAAGAGAGCAGACAGAGATAGATAGATAGATAGAGAGAGAGAGAAAGAGAGACAGACATCGCATCGGTGATCTACACACTGGTCGCAATAAAACGTCCATGGCAGCAAGCAAGTTCAACAGCTTGGAAAAGGAGTTCTGTTCTTGCGTGATTCTCTAACCTGAGTTGAACGTCCGGTGAATGGCGTTCGGTGTGGTGGTGGCGGGGACAGGGGCACTTTCTGGAATGGGAGGACAGAAAAGATATCGAGTTAATCGATTTCGTCGAGAGATCTACTGTTTCGTGGGTTCGTGGCCCGAGGATTGAACTGCCACCCAAAAGCATCGTGATATGGGTTACGCTCGTCGTTCTCGGCTACGATGCATACATGTATGTACATACATACGTGCGAGTGAGTACGTATGTACGTACGTATGCATCATGTGCACCGTCTGCATCACTGTTCATTCATAGTGTTCGTGGCGCGGACCTCTTTTCTCGTCTTCGACCCGCGAGCTCGTTCTTTCCCAACGCGATAACAGTCTCGCCGAGAGTACGCGCATTTATCTTTGCCCGTATCCGTGTGAACTCGCCGGAGGAAAAATTTATCGCTCACCGCGAATATTACCATAATTTTCAACATCAATAGAAAGATCGCGGATGCTTCACGCACGAGAATGAACATAAAACAAGATACAATCGATGCTCGATAATAACGCAAAAAGTCTGGCATTTTACAACGATAATTATCCTTTTCTTTGCATTTAATTCCTCGCCGGTAAATTAACAGTATGGTAATCGGATTTCGTCGTTCGAAAATATCGATCCCGACCAACTGACGAGCAATTACTGTTATGCGCAGCTGCATGCCGCGCTGCGCCGGCTCGTGATAGGGACAGGTACACGCAGAGGTTACGAACATAATTAATGAACAGCGCTGTTCGTGCACGCAGGCCTTTTTGAATCTCCGGAAGTACAGTTTACGCGCGATGATGTTGAAAAAAGTCGATCGACTATCGTTATTACGACCAGCATTGGTAAGGAACTAAAAACTGTATATTGAGACGTTATCGTTAAATCCTATCTGTACAACTAATCAATGGGATTAGTCGCGAAATTATTGAAACATCGGTTGGATAGCCGACATTATCGTAGGCCACGTTTAATCATGATTAAACTACATGCGAAACGGTGTACGTATCTATATTATTGTTCGTTACAGTTCTCCGGCCGTGCGATTAATCGCGATAAAGCGTAATCATCAAGTTCCATAAAATATTTAGCGCACTAAATAATAGACGCTCGTTAACACACGATGGCGCATTGTCGTGTATACGCTATTGTACGTTGACCGGGCAGAAAGAATTAAACAATCGCGATTCAACGTGTAATTACTTGGTATTGAAAAAAACGCAAGTTAATTGAAACGACGGGGTCGCGACGATGGAACGCACACGAACGACCCGCGCGTATAAGTAAACGAGTAGGGAAATTGTGCGAACGAAATAAATTGCGCAACGGGAAGTTAAACTGTGTGCAAATTGTTTGTTAATGTTCGAACGATCCCGTGACTGTAACTTGATCGCGCTTTAACACGCGCGGTACACGGCCGTGTTCGATAATTCACGAGGACTTTTAATTGCCACTGTAACGTCAACCGCTGTTTGTACCCTGAAGTGTTGTCGCGGCCGCGTGGTTGCAATGTGCGCTCGACGTTGACAGGATCATCAATTAGGCGAATTAATTGCTAAACGGGAAGTATCGGAAGACGAAATCGACGGTTAGCGTACGCTGGAACGTTCCGTCCAATCGACGACGAGCGATGCGATACCGAAAGGAGGAAGTAATAATCGTATGAAATATTTAGTAGAGAGGGTGAAGACCGCGACTTCTTTAATATGTTCAACGTTTCACGGGTGACAGGCATGCAAGCGGAAAGCTTCAGTCGTTTTTCAATCATGCTGGTGCGTTGTAGATAGATAGGACACCGGAAGAGTGTCTTTCCTGATCGATCAGGTGATAGACACGTACACAAGTACTTATTTCTTATCTAAACTTCATTACGCAGAGTATTTACAGCGGTACAAAGGTTCCTCTCGTTAATAAAGCGATTAATCCTTCCGCGTGGCCTCCTTTACGAGCTCATATTAAGTTTCCGTTAATAAATTTCGTGAATACGAGACTCTGTCGTTCGCTCTAATTTTTTCACAGAGCAAAAATTCCTTTACGGGATTTAGGTAAAAGGAAATACGAGCACAAAGAGATAATTAATAAAGGAGCTACCACCGCTTTAATTTCGAGCATGAGTCTTCTTTGATCTGTTCCATCGCCGAAGGATTAATCGTAGGTATAATGATGACGCGACTGTGGCGTTTACCTTCGACTTTCAGCACGAAGGCTAAATTCATTTTGGGCTCGGTGTTAACCTGGCATTCGTAAACCCCGGCGTCGCGTGGCTGAATGTAACCGATCTGCAGCGTCCATTCGTCGGATCCTTCCGGATGCTTCACCGAGAATCTGTCGTCCCCCGTGTACACGTGGACGGATGAGGTCAATATGTGTATGTCCCTTTTACGTATCCAGGATACCTGGAATCAGAATAACACTGGTTCAGATTCACAATGCTCGCTGGAATCTTAACGAAAGCTTCGATGCTCAAACGTCGCAATGCTCGTCTCTAGCAAATCGTTTTCGTTTCGAAACGTTTTCCTTTGGATCGAGGAAAGCTTCTTTTCGTTGGCATTCGTATGGAAAGATTCGAAACGAAGAAGCGATCGACCTTATTTTCGCAGATATATTTCATTTGTTACAAGTCAAATTATTTTCATATTATGTTGCAAACTACGAACCGGCATCACAAAATCGTAAAGAAATTATAACACAAAGATGGTGAAGCGTAATTAGCAAATGTAATAGCAACTGATTTTGAGCGACGCAATGAACAGAGTTAATTTCTCATAAAATTGCGAACAACTGATCGATCAATACGTGACGTTTATGGTTGTGTCAGAGTGTTACACAGCTTATTGCATCTATATGAAATAGACGAGGCGAAATGCAACGTTTGACGTGATACACATCCGCTAAATCTGTTAGTAGTCGAATAATAACATTTTCATTGATCTATCGGTACACCTGCGGCGATCTACTAATCATACAAACAGCGTATCAAATTTTCGACGTGCGCTGGAGCACAAACAGCATTATGGTTGGTGTACACGTCATTACAACACGCAACCGTAAATGTAATACTGGATTTGGCGATATCAGGTCTTTGCTATTCTATCGCAAAGAAAGTGATGATTGCATACAAGACCCGTCTATATCATAGAATGTCTGTCTGTCAAAAATATATTACGTCCTCACAAATCGCACGATTTTTATTACAGTACACTGTACATTAAGTAAAATTAACGACAGTCCGGAGTTGAAACCATCACGTAGGAATTGAACAAATTGCACCCGGTAAAACTTTTATCACGATATATATGTACATTTGAACATTTTATCGTGGAATAATCGAGCACGCTAACGACCGCAATGAATCGATAGAAATGTCCGACAAATTTAATAAAGTGGATTCGATATCGGGGACCGGTCGGACCGGTCGCCGTGATCGTAGTTGAAAAATGTTCGAAATTTCCCGGACTTCTATCCGCTTATCGACGTTTATGGTTGATCGTTAAATGCCTCTCGGTGCTACGTTCGACAATTACACACGCACGTGCCGATGCGCCGGTCCACGACGCGGCGGCTGTTCCTATGCCGAAAGTTACCCCTCACGGATCCACCAGCCCTTCGACGCGTTCACGGGTGCCGGCACTTCTAGCCCCTAGCAATAGGTCTCGTTAAACGTATGTTCCACGGAAAGATCTGCTGGCTCTCGTTAATTATTTTCGTCTGCATCCTTCTACAATGCAGAAACATTGTGAATAGAATGGAAGGCAGACAGAGACAGACGCTGGGGGTTGGTGGAGATGTAAGAAGAACAAGCTGTGAATCCCGATGGGGGAGTACAATCTGTCAGGGTAAAGGAACACGTTAAGATGCTCAAATTTCTCGACAAAGTTTTCGACGTTGAGTGCCTGATAATGGTACGCTTTCCGCTGTAGTATCTACTAGCGAATTAATCGTGTTGCTATTTAATTACGTGTTATATTCCGATCGCTGCTTGGCTTGTCTCGATCTCATGGCGAACGTTACGCAGATTATGGTAAAAATCGATACGAAATTAAACGACGTTACCACGTCGTTTGGAATAATTCCGTTTCCGATCGGATCCACGACAATAATCCGTCGCACCGCGGAGGATTCGAATGCGAGGGGTGAAAACAATTTTTTTTTTTCGTACCCCAGGAAATTCCTCTCGGCTGGAATTTGCGTTATTTTGACACGAATTGAGGCCGCGTTTCACGCCAGACATGTTCCGCGAATTTATTCTGCGAATTCGGGCACCCGTAACGAACCGCATGAAAAGGATGCGAGGTGGGGAGGGTGAAATAGTGCGAGCGAAGAAGAGAAAGATGGATCCTTTGAGTATAAATTTCGAGCACGGACCATCTTTTATCGTCGCGCGGTACCTTCTACGATAGGAACGGACTAGTTATCGTTTCGCGCCTTTTATATCTAATAGAGCAGCTACTCCGCCGGGGAAAATTAAATATCTTTCAACTCCTGCGGCCCTTAACCCCCCGCGGGGTTGAATCTCTTGGTAAGTTCCACCCATGAACATCTTATAGTTTCGAACTCGCCCCACGCCCCACGGCGTTCAGATTATTGGGTGTAGAACAAGTATGTTACGTGCTGTACGTGTTACCGTGGAATTTTCGCCTCCATTAAAGCACAACGAGGCGCGAAATCGGTGCAGAAAAAAGCGCGCCACTGACAGCGCGGTAGAACGCCTTTAACGTCTCATCAAGAGGCGCTCGTATTTTAATTAGCCAGGTAATAAAATATTTCTCCACTGAGATCAAACAGATCGAATAAAGTGAAGAAGCCTCATAAACATGAATATTGTTCGAGCTGGACGGGAAAAACTGACGGAACGGCTTCCATTCTCCCGAAGTTTCGTTCTCTGATTTTAAATTGGAATTATGACCTGGCCTGAGTTTCTGGAATCTCTTTCCTCAAATTCCTCATTGCTTTTAAAAGGGCTTTTGAACTTACCGACTCTTTTCGCTAGAGATGAACTTCTATATTCTTGCAAATGATTGTCGAAGAACGAAGATTCGTCTTCTCGTTTAGTGTTCCCCGTTCACGGACGAGGAAAAGGATATAAAGGAGCGATAGGGGAAGGTAAGGGGTCGGTGCGGTGAGTCGGCGAAGGTTGGATGCTCGCGATATCGCACGCTACGTAAAACATCTCCGAGCGCAATTTGCCGGTTGGTAACCAGCGTAAGGGAGCTTTCAGTGGCTTTGGCCTTTCGAAGCCAACTAGACTCCGGTATTTTCTGCTTAGGTCAACCCGAAAGCCGCCTGGAACGGCAGGCTCTTTGTATCGCTACGTGCACCTTCAACGCGATCTCCATTTCCTATTAATCCTACAACGTTACTGCCGCGTCCAGGCTTCTCCAGAGATTTCGGATGCCCTCGGATCAACTAAGGTAGGGCAAGGTGAAACGAGGAAAGAAGAAGCGGCTCGGACAAAATCGAATAAAAAATACGTAGCAATTTAAATGGTGGTGCGAGGGAGAAGTAGAAACGCAGCTGTACGCCGAACGAATTTTCCCCGGGACGCGAGAAATTTCTTGAAGCCGTGGAATATTTCCTTCTTACGCTTTCGCGGCAACCCTTGTCTCCCGTGTAACGTCGAGCGTGAGCCGCAACGTACGTACGTGCAGGCATTTTCTAAACGACGTCGACGGGACGACTGTTGCGGCCTCGACGCGCAAGCAAGTCGCGTCGCGTATCCTGAGCAGGAAGGGGTCGCGAAACGTCTCAGCCGTTTCCCTTTCGTGGCAAGAAAATGGAGACCTCGCCCCACCTTCTCCTCTGTGCACCATGGAACGACGATTTTCCCAGCCATTCACGGTAATTTCTCGGGATAAAAGGTTTTCCGCGCAGGTACCGCGGTAGGTCGAGTTTGTCTAAGGGAGAGGGAAAGGGCGACGACGACAGTTGAAATGATGGCAGCCGTTCGTCGCATGGTAAACTCGATTTACAGACGACTCGATGTAGGTTTCCGCTTGTACTTATCTAGGTGCCAAGCTACCGCCGTCTCTGCCGACGCTTTTCTTATTTCCCTCTCGTCGCCACCGCCGCCGCCGCCGCCGACTCTCGTAGTGCTCGCACCCGTAGCCGAGTGTGTCAATCAATTTAAGGGAGACAGATCGGTTTGCCTCAATTTTATTCCGCGCTTACCGCGCGCCACACGCGCCGCAAACATTGACTGACGGTTGGAATAGAAGTACCTGAGACATTGCGTTGCTGAACAGAATCCTGTATTTTCGCGTCGTGTCTATATCGTGTAACGACTGTTTAACTCATTTATGATCTACAATTCGAATGCTGAGACGACGTTACGCGGCTGTGTACTATTGCACACTTCAGTGCGATGGCGCATTGTGCAATAGAGACGACGTAATGAACGAACGAAGAAGGAAGAAGTAGGTATAAAATACATATTTTATAATACTCAGGTCTTTCTCGTTTAAGTCAAACGAATAAAAACATATGTACATACGCTTAATGCATAGAAATTATTTGGTGTACGCGAGATTCTGGTAAAAATTAACATTGTTTGACGGACAATATGAGGTTCGTACTGCAAACGAATGCAGATGAATTTTAAAATAATACGTTTACCGCATCCGTGCTACTTCAATATTAAATGATTTACTGAAATCTTAAAATGATTACAATCTAAATAAACGATGTTATGGTACTGAATTATGAAAATATATTATACGAGAACTGTTTATATAAAGAATTGCACGTTGTAATATTTCACAACATTATGCAGCCCGTTAAGGTGTTATTCCAAGAGGTATTCATGAATTATTCACGGTCGTTTTGCAGCGAGAACAGAATAGCGAAAATACAAAATGAAATCTGTTATCCACGTCGGGGTATCGCGGTATCAAAATCGCATTTCTGGGATCCTTCTGTGCGAGATAGGAACACGCGGTTTACCTGGAGTTTAAATTATTGCCGGAATGTCAATCACTCATATCTACCGACGATCATTTTATCGTAGGCTACTCGGTACACAACCGGGATAGAAATTAGAGATACCAATTAGCAGGTGGTATCAATTTAATGGCTTCTACTCGTCCTTTGACCCCCCCCCCCTCCCGGCCCCAACTTGTGACTATCGTTCGTCATCGTCGCCGTTGCAGCGAAATGCAACTGCGTTCGACGTGGGTGTTGCTCGTTGATTATCGTCACCATCGTTATCGTTGTCATTACTTGAAATATTCCATCGATTCCAGCTTCTCTCTGTCTTCCTCTCAGTGGGTCGCCTATTATACATCTCTCTATCAGCGCTGCTCATCTCACTCGCACGGTCGTTCATTACTTGGCCAGCCGTGCTACTCAGCCAATGCCGAAATGGAAGCGGACCAACATTTATAACACTCTATATGCAGGA